TCCCTTCCCTTCCCTTCCCTTTTCACTTCCCTTTTCACTTCCCTCCTTCCCTTCCCTTCCCTTTTCCCTTCCCTTCCTTTCCCTTCCCTTCCCTTCCCCATTTCTTCCCATCTCCTTCCTTCCCCTTTCTTGCATCTTTTGCATCAGGATCTCACTGCCTTCCTGATGGTGGAATCATAGGTGTACCCCACACCAGGAGGCCCATTTCCATCTTATAAAGACTCTAACTGGGGGCTGGAGAGATGGCTCAGCGGTTAAGAGCACTGGCTGCTCTTCCAGAGGTCCTGAGTTCAATTCCCAACCATCACATGGTGGCTCATAACCATCTGTCATCAAATCTGGTGCCTTCTTCTGGTATGCAGACATACATACAGGCAGAATACTGTATACATAATAAATAAATAGATCTTAAAAAAAAAAAGACTCTAACTGCCAGGACTTGAAATAGCCATTGAGACAGTGGATAGTCTTCATTTACACACGAGCTCTAGAGTGGGCACAAGACCCATGAAGGAGTTAGTGACCAACCTGAAGGCTTTCAGAGACCCGGGGCTCATATTTTATGGTCCTAACACTTCTGACTCCTTCGGGCCCTGCCTCCCAATTCTCTTTCCCAGAGTATCCCAGCCTCCCTGCTTCCCACCCTTCCTCTCCCGTACCTGAAGTCCCACAGAGATGCTGCAGTTCAGGGGACACCTGCGCTCTCAATGGACGCCTTTGAAATGGTGCTGCGGTCCCTAGGCCGGCCCACCCTAGTCACCGTCACATCACTACTGCTTCCTGCCCTGCCCCCAGACTGTGGTCACAGGTCCCCACCAGCACCCACCCTGTTGTCACCTCTTCATCCGGCCTGTGACAGCCTTCAGGAAGTCAGCTGTGAAGGCCAGGGCTTCATCTGCCAGGCAGAGGTGTAGGGGTGTGGGACTCTGGTGTGGACCAGCAGGCTGACCATTCTCTGCTTCTGCTCTGAGTGTATAAGCAAGGAGCTGTCAGTCAGTGAGTGTGGCCTGGGCTTGAGTGGCCTCTTCCTGTCTCAGCTTCTCATCCAAACCTGTGGAAAGTCACCACGTCCTGGGAGAAGGGACATGCAGATGAGGGGCAGTGTTCAGAATCAGGCCTTGCTCATCACTCATTCTTAGTACTTGTGACTGTCCCCTCCTCCCTGGGTGGTGGGGAGAGATGTTCACAGCTGGTGCCCACTTCCTGTCCATACCTACATCCCAGCCCTGCACCAGGTTTGAGCAAGCTAGTACTGTTGAGAGCTAGGAAGGAATGAGAGACTGTTGCCCACTCTGCTTTGCCTGAGGTTAGAGTGGGGTGGTTTCCATGGGTGGGGTGACTCACAGGCACCTTCTGGGGGCAAAAACAAAATCATACGGGTTATGAGGTGGGTAAAAGTGGGCGAGGGGGGCTAGTTCTCAGCACCTTCAAGTGCGTACGTGCTGGGAACAAGTAGCCACAGACCCCAAGCCACATGGTCACATCTCGCCCTGGCTTATACCGTCTTCTCAGCCTGGCCTCCTCTTCTGTTACTCTTCTAGAAATGGCACCTAACCTTGCCCCATGCTGGGATTCTTCCCAAGTGGCCTGACCAGGAGGCCAAAGGTTGGAGGTATTTGGTCCCCAACCATGCTGGAAGGACAGTGGGAAAGGCATAGATACCTGTAAAAAGCCTACAGGGAAAGTCTGGACTCGAAACAGGCTCTCTCTAGCTCAGTTACACTGGAAACCCACTCTGCTCATCTATGAAATCGAAGGGAGGGTGCTGGGCATGCAAAAGGCCCCTTGTCTTACCTTCAGTACTGTAGTCATTATCCCTATTATTATCATCATGATCACCACTATCATCACTATTGTATCACCATAATCATGATCGCATCACCACCATCTTCATCAAATGAGCAGTATCATCTTCACTATCATCATATCACTGCATCACCAACCCATCACCATCATCATCAGCACTATCATCACCATCACCACCACCATCACCACCATCACCACCATCATCATCACCATTATCACCATCACCACCATCACATTACCACCACCATAATCATTAGGAAACCTTTGTCTTTTTAAGAATCCTTTTAGCCGGGACTGGAGAGATGGCTCAGGGATGACAAGCACTGGTTGCTCTTACAGAGGACCCAGATTCAATCCCCAGCACTCTCATGGCAACTCAAGTATGTAACTCCAGCCCCAGGGTTTCTGACACCCTCACACAGACAAACATGCAGGCAAAACACCAATGAACACAAAACAAAAATAAATTATGTGTATGTGTGTTTGTGTGTGTGTGTGTGCACGCGCGTGCGCATGTATGTGTGTGTATTTAAATAAAATAATCCTGGCACATGACATGATGTGTGTGTCAAAGGTTCCCCTTGGGGGTGTCCTTTAGAGAGCCATGGTGACACCAATGTTTCTGACAGGTCTGGACCGGCAGACTTGGTGAGAGTTGTCTTGTCTGTTACAATATGCTGCAGCACACAGCTTTTCCTCAGAGATACAGGTTTTGACTGTATTGAGATGTAATTCTCCTGCCCTACACGCACCCATTGAACATATCTGACCCCATGATGATTTTTTTTTGCTATGCTCAGAGGGCTGTCCATCTACCACCACAGCAGACTTTAGAATATTCTCACCACTTTCAAAAAAAAAAAAAAATCTGAGCTCCCTCACCAGAGAGCATCTTGTTTTCCCTTAACACTGACCTAGTCTGTATCTCTGGATTTTCCTGTTTTCTTACTGTTTTGGCTGTTTTTTCTTTGTCAGCTTGATACAGACTAGTGTCATCTGGGAAGGGGACCTCAGTGGAGGAAGGGTCCCCATCAGATTGCCTGTAGACAAGTCTGAAGTGCTTTTTCTCAATTAACGATCAATGTGGAAGGGGGAGGGCCCAGCCCACTGTGGGTGGTGTCATCCTTGGGCTGGTGGTCTTGAGTTGTATTAAAAAAGCAGAGCAAACCATGAGGAGCGAGCCAGTCAACAGCTCTCCTCATGGTCTCTGCTTCAGCTCCTGCCTCCAGGTCCCTGCCTTGAGTTCTTGCCTTGGCTTCCCTCAGCCAACTGTGACTCTGGATATGTAAGTTAAATAGGCCCATTCCTTTCTACGCTACGTTTGGCCATGATTTTTATCACAGCAACAGAAACCTAACTAGGACATTGATTTTCACATAAATGGAATCGTGCAATATGACTGTTGCTGTCTGGCTCATTTTGCTCAATAGCTTCAAGCTTCACGAGTGTGGGAGCATGTGTCAGCCTTTCCACGGCGGAATAATATATGATCGTATGGGCACACCACATTTGCTCAGCTGTACATCAGGGGATGGTCATATTTTCCCACTTACTCACTATTATGAACACGGCTGCTCTGAGTATTTTGGTACAGATTTCTTGGTTTGAACACGTGTCTTCATTGCCTTCAGTGTATGCCTAGGAGTGGAATTGCACAGTTATGTGGTAGCTCCCATTTTAACCTCGTGGGAACTGTTTTCCCAAGGGGCTAAAGCATTTTCCATTCTCACCCGCGCTGTGTGAGGGCTCCGGCTTCCCCACCATATTTCCCACCCTTATGATTGTCTGGCTGTGCTACCCTAGCAGGTTTGAAGAGATCGCTCACTGCGCTTTCGATTTTGATTTCCCTAACGGTGGTTGCTAGTGTTAGACCTCAAACCTGGGGTGAATGGCTGAGATGCCTAGTTAACATCTCAGTTAAGCAGATGCTGGCTGCCAGGCTCTCTCTGCATCCCTTAGCCTTTACTGTTACAGGGCCCTCTTGGTTGGGATATGTCACTCCCTAGCCTAACCATCTTCAGCCTATGGGCTGGGCTGCCCTTCCCACAGCTGGGCTTCCCTATATAATCCAACCGTCTAGGTTACCTGGTCCTTTTGTCTACCCTCTTTTGGCTCTCCTGGCTACTGTGCCTGGTTCCCCTCTTTCCCATCCCCCCCCCCACTCCACACATGGCCCAGCTCAGTCTGGTCATGCCCACCCTGGACCCCCTCAGATGCCCCTGACTCTGGCTATGCTCTCCCTAATATCTATAATAAACCTTCTCTTCCACCACACCTAGGAGCAGTCATGGTCTTTCCTTTCTTATTTCTTTTTTTTTCTATTCATTTAAGAGATGTGTGCTTTGCATGTGGTCATGGGTCATTTGTTTATATTCTTTGGAAAACTGCTTTTCAAATCCTTTGCCTAGTTTTGAACTGAATTTTTTATTACTGAGTTATGATAACTCTTTATATATTTGGATCCTAGATCCTTCAGAGATATACCATTGACCAGGACCAGCAGGTCATTCTTCAGTGACAGGTTTCTGAGAAGAAGGACCAGGGGATCAGAAAATAAAGAAGATAGCAGAGTTTGGGATCAGGAGGTCTTGTCCAAGGTTTGTGTCACGCCAAGCAAGTTTATTAAGAAGTGCAGCGTCTTGTATTTGCCTTGTAGGGGAATATGAGGCAGAGTTAGTGTAAAGTTGTCCTACAGTGGGGTAAAGTCAGCAGGAAGGTAACCAAGCAATGTTGCACAAAGGGAACACAGGCTATCGCAAGTGCACATAGTGACCTGGGGACAGATGACCTAGCCTCTTCAAGGAGGAAAAGCCAGGTTGCCAGGAACTGAAATCTTAACTCCTCCGAGGCTCTGCCCAGCCTCAGGCTGGACCTTGCCAAGTCAGCAGCCTGCAAGGACACAGAAGCAGAGTTCCCTTTGTCTCTTCATCAGATGCTCTGAGACAGCCTGAGGCAGCCTGGCTCCCAACACATGGTTTGCAAATATTTCATTTCTGAGTCTTTTTTTTTTTTTCATGGTCTTCTTTCCTTTCTTTCCCTCTCTTCCTCCCCACTTTCCTTTTCGCTGTATTAGGAGTTAAACCAGGGCTTCTCATGCTGGGTAAGGGCTCTTCCACTAACTCTATCCTCAGCCTTCCCTTTGATCTTCCTTTCTTTTAAACGAACTTGGGGGCTGCAGGCACCATATGCCCACAGTGCACTGACAGGCAAAACATCCAGACGTATAAAACAGAAAAAGAATGTGAGTATAAAAAAAATCAGGGGGGATTTATTTACCTTTTAAATTTTATGTGTATGGGTGTTTTGCCTGCACGTGTCTTTGCATATTCACATACAATGGCTGTGGTGTCAGAGCCCCTTTAACTGGAGTTACAGACAGTCGAGAGCTGCCATGTGGGTGGTGGGAATGGAACCCAGGTCCTCTGGGAGAGAGGCCAGTGCTCTTAATCACTGAGCCGTCTCCCCAACTCCTAAGCTGGCTCTGAACTCAGGCAAGCCTTGGCCTGTCCTGCTGAAGATTCATGAGTAGCTGGGATTATGGGTCTACACCCTTAGGACAACTTTCTTCCTCCCTCCATCCCTCCGTCCCTCTGTTCCTCTGTCCTTCCGTCCCTCCCTCCTTCCTTTCTTTCCTTTTCTTTTCCCAAAACAGGGTTTCTCTGTGTAGCCCTGACTGTCCTGGAACTCCCTTTGTAGACCAGGCTGGCCTTGAACTCACAGAGATTCACCTGCCTCTGCCTCCTGAGTGCTGGGATTAAAGGCGTGCACCACCACTGTCCAGCTTTTGGCTAACTTTCCTCTCTTGTCTTTTGCTTTTCTTCTTGTTTTCTAGTATCACTTTTGGCAAATGACATTTCTAATGGAAAATTTCAGGCCCGTGGGCTTGTTATTTATAGTACAGTACTTCTATCTTTAAAACATAGCTTTCTGAGTTGGTAGTATGGTATTCTATTTTATTTTTAGAAGGAGTCTCATTGTGTAGTCCTGGCTGGCCTGGAACTTAGTATGCAGGGCAGGCTTCTCAAACTCACATAGATCCAACTGCCTCTGCATCCTGAGTGCTGAGACTCTGGACTGTGCCACTGTACCTGACTTGATCGTGTTTTTTAAAGGATTTTTTTTCTGAAGATTTTTAGATGCTGTATAATGTTTTTTAAGACCCTGTTCTTGTTTTATTAATCACCCCTGTAGGGAGGCATTTTTCTACTTTGTTAATAGTTTTCCTTATCTATTTTCTTCTCCTTTTCTATATTATTTAGTCTTCTGTTGACCTTTTTCCTAAGTTCTTCAGTTACACTCACTAATTTTCGGTCTTCTTTTAGGAAGTGTTGAGGCGTTTTCTTACATATATTTTGCCATTTCCTTACGTATTTTTAATCAATTATTTAACTTTTAATTGTATGGGTGGTTTGCCTGCATGTATATATGTGCACCACATACGCATCTGGTGCCCACGGAGACCAGAAGAGGGCATCAGGTTCCCTGGAACAAGCGTTACAGACAGCTATGAGCTGCTGGGTGCTGGTAAGTTTTGGTTACCGGGACTGAACCCAGGTGCCCTGGAAAAGCAGCTTGTGTGCTTAGCTGCCGACTCATCATCGCTCAAGCTCTGCTACCATATTTCTTCACAACTGCATCTCGTGAGGTTTTGCATGTGCTCTTTTCATTATGGCCTTGATGTCTCCCTCTGTCTCTGTCTCTCTTACACACATGCACACACATGCATGCACACACGTGCACAACACCCGAAACATAATTTAAAAGGATTATGTAGGAACAAGAATGGAGTGGAGAAACTTATACCGCTAAACATGAAGACTTTACTACAGAGCTGCAGCAATTCGGGTGTCAACATCAGGAGAGAAAAACGGACCTGTCTAGAACTCTGTCAAGTGCATTGCTTAGACATTATGGCAAACGGAACTGGAATACCCCATAAAGGAAAGACATGGATCTTAAATTCACCATATTGAAAATTCCACTGAAAGCAGCAACAACCAAATTTCTAGAAGATAGCACAACACATTCTCTTTACAATGTTAGTAAATTAAAGACTAATTAAGCAGAATTTTAAAGATTTAAAAAATACTTATTTTATTTTGATTTGTGTGTGTGTATGTATATGTGTGTGCATGTGTGTATGTAGATGTGTGTGTGTGTGTGCGTGTGTCTGTGGAGGCCAGAAGAGGGTATCAGAGTTACTGGACTTGACGTCATAGGGAGTTATGAACTGCCTGACATGGGTTGGGAGCCAACCTCCAGTCCTCTGCAAGAGCAGAAAGCACCCTTAAGTGCTAGTGCTGAGCCAACTCTCCAGCCCCCTAAACAGAATTTTTAAATTTTAAATTTTTAAAAAGATCTTCATATAAAGGGAAAGTGGATAAATTGGAACTTAAGAAAATTAAGACATTTTTATGAGATTCTGAGGGTGAAGCAACCAGTCTCTGAGCCAAGTTTAAACTCTGAACTAAGACAATAGAAATAGTACCTTGAGGGCAAGCATAAGATCCCATAGTATGAGGGCAGCATTTTCCTGGTTTGGCTGTAAGGGCACCCGGAGGTCACTAGGCTACATCTTGACTGGTAACAGAGCATGCTATCTTTCAAAGAGTCCCTGCTTTTTAGGCATGCAGAATGCAGAGTTACAGGGCCATGGAGGTTTGCACCAGGATTCTAGAAAGCCAGTGTGGCTGGGCAACGTGTCACATGCGCAGATTTCTCACGTGGCTCTCACAAGTAGGCTGTGTGTCAAACTGTGGCCAGGAAGTTGGAGCTGCGACTGAGATTCCAGGTGTCTTAGTCACGGTTTCCATTGCTGTGAAGAGACACCATGACCATGGCAACGCTTATAAAGGATAACACTTAATTAGGGTGGCTCGCTTACAGTTTCAGAGGTTTAGTCCATTATCATCATGGTGGGACATGGTGGCATGCAGGCAGACATGGTCCTGGAGAAGCAGCTCAGAGTCCTACATCTTGCAGGCACCAGGAAGTGGTCTGAGACCCTGAGTAGTGTCTTGAGCTTATATGAGACCTCAAATCCCACCTCCACAGTGACACACTTCCTCCAACAAGACCACACCTCCTCCCACAAGGTTACACCTCCTAATAGTGCCACTCCCTTTGGGGGCTATTTCTTTCAAACCACCACACCAGGATATTGTAGGATGTGGTACATCTGCCAAGGAAAGCTGCAGGTACTTGGTAGAGCCAGGGTAAGAGAAAGCATACGGAGACCACGGACAAAATGTCATGGGTTAAATGAAAAACTTTCATAAGCTCATGTATTCGAACCCTTTTATTGCCAGAGGCTGCTGAGACTACTGGACATAAGCCCTAGCTGGCAGACGTAGGATTGTTGGGGCACAGCTAGCCTGTTAGGATATAGCTTCATTCTGCCCATCACGACATGAGGTGCTCTACCCACACACCTGCTGCTGTGTAGCCACCCCGTCATGCCTTCCTGGCCCATGTGGATGGTAACCCTGAAAACTACGAGCCTAAAGAAACCCTTTCTCCCTTAATACACCGCTCCTGGATCTTCAGTCTGTGTCCTGAGGGACCCTCCTACGTCTGTATCAGCCTGTCAGACAGTCCCTCTGTGCTCAGACAACCCACCCCTGTTCAGTCACTGCTCACGATTCCCGTCTGCTTTAAGGGACTAGGAGTGCGGAGAAGCAAGACCCAGACAATTAAAGTCTCCTTGGCAGGGGCGGGGGATGATGGAAAAAGGAAGCACAGTTGGCCAGTAGTGAGAAGTCAGGAATAAGGGTCCCTCCGAGCTAATGAAGCTGTCAGCAGGAGCTGAGATGGAAACCACCTGCTCAAATGTCACCCTCCCCCACTCCCTTTTAAAAGACAGGGTCTCACTATGTAGCTCTGGCTAGCTTGGAATTTCCAGAGGTCCACCTGCCTCAGTCTCCTGAGTGCTGGGATTAAAGAGGTGACACAACCCACTACACAGAACCACCTTAGGGCCCTGGAAGTGAACGCAGCAGGCTTGTGTGTTAGTGAGTGCAAAACTGAACGGCTCACTCAGGAGCTAAAAGAATGAGAGGTTTATCACTTGCAGCAAGTAATGTGTGCCCTGAGTTATTTGCTCTCCGGGGGGAAACAAAGAAAACACCAGAAATTCTATGCATATCCATATAAGAAAGTCAAGGCATACTTTTGAGCATGCTCAGTTTAAAGTTCCTACAAAGTCACTTTCCAACAGGAAAGATGGCTGACACATTCCTGAGCACGCTCGTTTGCAAGTCCTAGACCATGTGCTCAGAAAGGAAATATGGCAGATATGAATGCTACCGGGCATGCTCAGTTCAGTATTATAACGAGCCAAGTTTATTTCAGGTTGCCTAAAAAGAATGAGTCAGAGTGACGTAGTGACCTTAGACATTCCTTGTAAGTTTTTCCAAAGAGCTTTTCCCTGAAACAAAAACGACGACTTTGGAAATAAGTTCACCGCCATTTAAAGAGCAGCAGGTTCTCCCCTCAAGCCAGGGCAGGAGTTTGCCTAACTTAGCAGCGATCACCAGCGCTGATGCAGAGTTCAGGACAGTTGAAACTGAGCCCAGGTGGTCAGAGGGCTGCTGAAACCCAAAGCAGGGTTGATAGCCCTCGCACAGATTGGCCACTAGACCTCAATTACTGACATTTCTTCCTGAGTCCCTAAACCCCAACTGGATCTTAGGTTCGGGTTTTTGAACACTGATAACATGCGCCTTTTACTACAGAAACCTCCGGGAATGGAATGGGTGAGTACTTCCTTCCTTGCCTGGTCAGTATGCAGGGTGAGGTCATAGGGCGCATGGCCTACAGGGAGGACACATCTCTAGCTGCTCTCTGGACAGTGGGGCTGGGCGTCTTACCCATTTATTTTGGAAGACTCAGTTGAGGTCAGCTCCTCTGAGCCAGAGGAAGCTGCTCTTGGCCAGTTGCCGTGGGCTGCAGGACTGCATGGCTCAGGGGTGCTGGTTTTGCATCTTGTACCATACAATCTCGAGGTCATTTTTAGCTCCATCCAGATTTGGGTCTTTGCACTGTACTTTAGCCCTCCGTGCGCTTCACCCTCTGGAGACCTCATCTTTCTGTGGCTCTGTGCTGAACTCCACCTAAGGCAGAAGCTCAGCTCTACTGGCCCGAAAGTAGCCAGCTGCTGACCGAATCAGGGGCCCTGGGAGGAACTTCTGACCCGGTTCCCACCCTACCACCTCCCAGCTTCCCCATGCTGACTAGGCTAATTGAGCTGGAGATCTTGCCAAAAACAGCCCTGAGGCCTGGGAGCCAAACTCTGGGGCTGCTGGAGGGCCCAGCTGGGTTCAGCTGCTAGGACTTAAAACGGAACAACAGCACCATGGCCGGAGGGTGACTAATAGTGGCGGCTCCAGGTGTCACGTCAGTTGTCACAGAAGATGATGGATCACTTACCCCGAGTTCTCAAGACTCCTCCCTGGAGGCTGATAGCCTCACTCACTTTTCAAACTGACTGCAGGACCCGCTTCTGACTTTTCCAGTGCTCCGCGGTGTTCCCTGCCATCTACCTGCAGTGTGGCCAAGTTCAGGTGTGGTGGTAGGGCATGCACTCTAAGGCTAGACCTCTCTCCCTGCGGGGTGGAGAAGCTCACAGTTTGATGAGGAAGGGCAGGTTGAATGCTTGCAAATCTGACTAGAGAATGAGAACTGTGTTCTTTGACGTCTCAAGTGCTGCCTCCAAGTCCCAACTAGCTGTGTGCCCTTACATTGTGTATGTAAGCTTCTCCGGATCTCAGGTCGCCTGTTTCTGAAATGAGGACACTATCTTTGCCACCAGGGTGCCATGGAAAAGTCAACAACATCATTTTTAACCCAACATTGGAACACGTTATTCTTGGCTGACTCACACACAGCATGTCCTACCTGCTAGGTGCTGGTCTGTGTAGAATGGGCTCTTTCGGGTCTTTGCATTGTAGTTTAATTCTCTGTGCACATTGCTCTCTGGAGACCTCATCTTTCTATGGCTCTGTGCTGAGCTCCACCAAAGGAAGAAGCTCAGCTCTGCTGGCCTGAAAGTAACCAGATGGTGACCGAATCAAGGGCCACGCAGTGGTGGTGGCAAACACTGTTAGTCCCAGTACTCGGGAGGGAGAGGCAGGTGGATTTCTGTGACTTCAAGGCCAGCCCAGTCTACAGAACAAGTTCCAGGACAGCCACACACATAGAAACCCTGTCTTGAAACACCAAAAACCAAAAGAACAAAACAAAATAAAAAGCAACCAACCAAACAAACAAACAAAAAGCAAATAATACATTTACTTTTTTTTTTTCAGATAGGCTTTTGTTAGAAGCCCAGTATAGCCTTGAACTCTCAATCCTCCCGCCTCTGCCTCCCAAGTGCTGGGATCACAGGCACAGGCCCTGCTGATCTCAGCGACAGCAGCCTTTACTCCCAATAAACATTGTCATTGGTATAATGCTGTGGATTAGTGCTCTTGTTGCTGAGACAAATGCCTGTGAAGAGGGAGCGCCCAGGAGGAAGGCTTTATTGGCTCACAGTTTGAGGACCGTGTTTATCACTATCGGGGAAGGTATGGAACTTCAGGCTGAGGTAACAGGAAGAAGACAAGGTTCCTTGCTCACATATCTGGGGACCAAGAAACAGCAACAAGACAGGCAGTGAGCAGGGTTGTAGACCTCATAGTCAGCCCCCTAGAGATCCTCTTTCTTAACTCCTTAAAGGTTCTATAACTTCCCAAAACAACATCACCAGCTGGGGACCAAATGTTCAAACACGTGGGCCTGCAGAGGACATTTTATGTTTAAGTCATAGCACACTCCTCTCCTGGAGACCTTTTCTCTCAAGTCTGGGGCCACCAGCAAAGACGAGGGTGGCTTTCCTGTACATCCTTTTGGGTAGCCCTGCCACAGGCCTGGCTTTCAGGGCGCTACCCTAGTGCACACGGAGCAGTTTCTGTCCTCATCTAATTCATTTCCACACCCATGATGCAATGAGTTCCAACTCACTGGGAATTCCCTATCCCCCAGGAGAGCTTGCTTTCCCAGTGAAGAGGTCAGCAGAGGAAGACCTCAGTATTGTCTTATGTGATACACATTGATTGAGAACCTCTTGTATGCCAAGGCCTGATGATACTAAATGTGAGCAAAAAAACAGGCTTTGCCTTAAGAAATGTGTAGGAGATGGGGCGGTGCGATGGCTCGATGGGCAAAGGAACTTGTTGCAGAGATCAAAAATCTGAGTTCAATCTCCAGGACCCATGTTGTGAAAGGAGAGAACTGACTTCAGCAAGTTTTCCTTTACATATTTGTTGTGATAACCCCCCACCACACACACACATCAAGAACTGTAAAATAGGGCTGGAGAGATGGCTCAGAGGGCAAGAGCACTGACTGTTCTTCCAGAAGTCCTGAGTTCCATTCCCAGCAACCACATGGTGGCTCACAACCATCTATAATAAGATCTGGCGCCCTTTTCTGGCATGTGTATACATAATAAATAAATTGATTAAAAAAAGAACTAAAATAATAATGACAACTTAAAAATAACGTGCAAGAGAGGGAGGGGCCTGCAGATGGCACAGCGCTTGCCTTAGTGGGAGCAAAGCTCTGGGTTCTTTCTGCAAGGCTAAAGGTAAAACAAATGTAATAAAGAAGCGCATACCCGCGAAACTGCAGCAACAAAACAGAAATGTGTGAGGGAGACAGGTGTGGTGCTGCCCTCCGTGTATTTCCAGCTTCCCGGGAAGCTGAGGCCGGAGGATCGCCTGTCTCAAGTCTACAAGCCTGCCTAGAAAAGAAAAGAAGAGGGAAGCAAAGCATAGTTCTTTAAACTAGGAGAATTCTGCAAGTCTGTAATCCCGGGCTGAGCTAGATCTTAAACTCAAGGTCAGCCTCTGCTACACAGGGAGACTCAGTCTCCAAAACAGACAAACCAAAAAAAGCTTCAACAAGAAGTGTATGTCTCTCTAGATCATAATAGGAACCTCCTAGAAATAATGTAGCAATCGTCCGGACACAACAAACATTTGGAAAGTCTCTGCCTGGGTTCAGCCTCAGTGATAGGATACAGAGCGGAAGTGAGGCCGCTGGTTTGCATGTATTAAGCTGATGAATTACAAAGAGGGGCTGGAGTGATGGCTCAGGTGTTGAGAGCACTAGTTGCTCTTCCAGAGGACCTGGGTTTGAGTCCTAGCACCCACATGGTGGCTTACAAAGGTCTGTAATTCTAGTCCCAGCAGATCCAATGCCCTCTTCTACCCTCAGCAGGCATTGCAAACCTGTGGTATACAGATACACAAGCAGGCAAACCACCCATACACATAAGATAAAAAGAAAAAAAAATAATGGTTTGATACAAGTAGCCCAAGCTAGAAACTTTGAAGGAGCATGGAATGACGAGCTGTGGGGGGCGTGGGGGTGGTCTGTTCCAGGGAGGACTTCTAGGAAATGAAGCCTATGAAAGAGGACCTAGCCATGGGAAAGGATGTCCCAGACTGCAGGAAGGTCTGGGGACTGCATCATGACTCAGAATTAAGGGGGGGGTATTGTAGAGGGGACCTTACTCACCCACTAGTGTCCCCAGTGAAGCTGGGATGTAGAGGCTGGAGGGACAGCCCAACACTAACTAGCAGCCCCCTCGCTGCCCGGCCGCCCCCTCGCTGCCC